GCTGCTAGGGTCACCATGAATGTGAGTCCTTGAAGCCAGGACTATCTCAGCTTTGCCAGCAAGTCTTCACCCTGCTTCTCCTTTCTTCTCTGCTCCTGACCAATACCCAGAAGGCCGGTATAGAGCTTCCTATCCAACACAAGTCACAGTTAGAAGAAACTGCAGGTCAGGGACTCACACTTTATTCTCTTTTAAGCCCATCTTCTCTGCAGGAGAGGGCCGGGTCACCCCAGTTACCTGGCTCTAGGCACCACCACCTGTTCTGGGTTTTCTGAAAAGGCAAAGGAGACTGACTATGGGGCTGCAAGTAAGGAGAAGTGGGAAGCCCTCCTGGTCTTTTGAAGAATCAGAGCAGGTACTCTGACCCATACCCAGTATTTCTGCCCACTCAGATACTCTTTCCCTGGGACATCAGTCATGAGCCATCATCTGCCAGCCCAGTTGATGTCCCTTCTTGGTGACATGGGAAGGATTGAGCCCCTGTGAGCTTTCAGGAACATCAACCACCAGATAAGTTCAGAAGTTACCTCCTCCTACTTTCTCATAGGTCTCTGCTCTGAAATACCACCATAAGAAAGAGGGGTGCATTTGTGATCTACATGTGACCCTGGCTGGAAGGTCATCTCTGGAAGGTCAAGACCATGTCCAATTGGTTCCTCCAAGCCTTCACCTCTTCTGCAAATCCATTCTCACATCTCCAGGCTTCTCCCTCCAGCCAAGGACCTTGTTATGCTCTCCCCATAGAAGGCACTCACAGTTTAGTTTTTCACAAGATCTATCTCCTTCCATAACCCACCCAACTTTCTTCTTTTTTTTAATACTGCTGCTCCTCATGCTTCACTCCTTATTTAACTGTCTGTCTTTGGCTCTTCTGTTTCCTTCTTTTTTCTCCTGCCCCATGGAGCAGTGTCCCATAAGGTCTATAAAAGTTGAAATTGACTTGTTGGCAATGGGTTCATCTTAAACTATCAGGCATCTCCCCTGCACCTTAAATCTGTCTCTTGTTGTCATCTGAGGTAAAGGAAATTTATGCTGGCTAAGTGGAGAGGTCCCATCCCACCCCAATCTTCTCTGCTCAGTCTCACAATCAGGGCAATCTTCAGACCTCAGTGTTCCTCGTGCCCATGGCCTACCCCTTCCTCCTTCTTAGAGGGGCCCTCACATCTTATCATCAGTCACTGCATCCTGTTACTCCCTTGAAGTCTCTAAGTGAGTCCTCAAAGCTACCACCAGCCATCATCTTCCTCCCTCCACTAATCTCAGTCTTGTTCTATGGAGAACCCACTCGGCCCCGCAGTAAAAACCGGAGTAGGCAGTTCCTTGTAGGTAGGTGTTCCAGAGAGAGGTGAACTAGGCCCAAGGGGCGCCGCCTGCTGAGCGGGAATCCCAGCCCTAACCGCTGGCGCCTTTTGAAGGGAGGGGCTTGGGCGGTGGTGGTTCTGCAGTGGCATCTGTCCTAGGGAGGCGGGAAGCTGCTGTATTAAATTGTAAAAATCGATTTATTGACCGGCAGGTGCGAGCAGCTGCAGATAGAGTAGCGCTGCTGGGGCGGGGGTGGGAGGGGTGGAGGAGGGAGTCATTGGCAGCGGGCGGCGGCATCGACCCCAGCTTCCCTATGAAACCCGTCGGTTCTGGTCATTTCTCGCCAGTTTGTCCCCGATTGAAGGGTCAAGGTCCCAGAAGCTGACTCCCCTCGCCTTCCACGCCCCCGTCTCTGGTCACAGGCTCTGGGCTGGGCCCCCACGGCTGACTGCCAGCCCCACTGCCCCAGTTGGCGCGCGGCGGACCCGGCGGACGCGTGGCAGCGCCCTGCGGCAGATGAGGCACGCGCCGACCTCATTTCAATGTGAATGGATCGAATGAAGCAGCCATGTGGCAGCAACAGTTTGCAAATCTCTCGGCCTTCTGTGCAGCTCCGGGGCCGGCGCTCGCTGCACGTGGCCCCTTCTCCGCAGCGACCGCAGTGGCGCCCCTTAAGGCTTTAGCGCCCCGCCCAAACCAGGCCTGCTTCTCAGCCCCCAGCCTGCCAGGCCCGAGCTGTGGCCAGGCCCCCACCGCGCTCCAAACCTGCTGCAGGAAGGCGCGATCTCCAAAAGCGGTTTGCCTGGCGGACAGCGCTGCCCAGGGGTGGGGGCTGGAGGGAGTACAACCGTGCGGGAGGCCTGGAAGCTGTCCAGAGGGGGGAAGAGTTCCGAGGGTCTACGAGATTCTTGTCGCACCTCAATAACTTGGGGCCAGCTTGAAGACACAGCTGGAAGGCAGCCTTGGCTTTTCCGGAGTCCCAAGTGAGGGTCTACCTGTTGGGGGATAGGCGCAGCGGCCGAGGGGCAGCAGAAGGCTTCAGAGACGTTAAACCAGGCCTTGACCCAGTTGCTCTGGACGCTCGCAGGGTTGCAAATGCTCTTTGGTGAGGAACCATGTCCCTGCCGAGAAACCCACATTTCTGCGAGGAGCCTTGGGATATGTGCTCGTTTAATGCTTCAGGGTAGCAATCAGGATCTTCCATACAGGGTTGCAGTGGTCTACGCGGGTCCAGCCCACCGGACAAGCTAGCCTCTCACCCTCTTGTTCTTGAGAACTCCTACGGCTTGTGTGGGGCTCTTCACTTCCCAAGTCAAGAATGGGAAGGGGCGAGAGCCTAGTTGTGGGTTGGTGATAAACACCTATTGGGGCCTTTGCACTCCGATTCCCTGTTCGACCTCCCTCCAGCTCAGCAAGTGTAGACGAAACCGGACTCCAGGAGAAGGGAGCTAGTGGGTACTCAGGGCCTAGGGCTGCGACCTACAGGGTAGTTTCCGGCAACGTCCTGGGCTACTAGGGGCCTTTTGAGGATGCTGAGTTTAACCCTTTCCTTTCCAGGTCAGATACTATATAGGTCTTCAGGACCATTTTGATTTTGAGGTTAATGATGACTGCTTTTTTTTTTTTTTTTTTTTTTTAAAAGCCCTTTGCCACTCACAACGTGCTTTGGGGCACATTAGTTCTGGTATGTACAAGGATGAGGGGTAGAGAGTGTTCCAGATATGCCAGTATTGCGCGAGATACCTAGTGTTGGACGGGATGCCTCCACTGAAACCAGGCCAGAGTCAGAGACAGAAAAGGAGCGAGTTTTTAAGATCTTCGAAGATCTTTGGGAAGAGAAGTCGACAAAGCTAGGTAAAACTGGATTTCAGCTCAGAGGGAAGTAAGGGGCACCCTCTGGCATCCTAAGAAGCAGGGAGTATGGGCCAAGAGTGGATCTGGCAGTCCACTTGCCAAGATCGCTGGGAGGCAAGCCCCAGGCTCCCCCTCCCTTGGGCCTGGCGACTCGGCCTGTCCATAACCTACATAAACTCACAATCGCAGCCTGGGCCCATCTGCCGGCCCCCGCCCCACCTCTGTTCCCCACGCCAACCCGCTCGCGCCAGATGGTGGCTGGGAGGGGTGGCCGTGCGTGGGGGACCCCCGAGCCCATCTCCTCATCTCATCCCTCCCCCAATCCACGCTCCCAACCTCTTGTTTCTCATCTTTTCTCCCCATCCTAAACCAACCCCCCCTTGGAAAAAAAAAAAAAAATCAGACCGTGTTCAGCATAGGCAGCTGTCGGGCTCAGCACAGGGATCCCTCATCCCGACCTAAGGCCTCCCCAGGGCCCGCGCCGCGTCCCTGCTTCCCCCCCCGCCCCACCCGCGCCGATCTTATCACTCGAAGACAGCCATCACCACGCGGGCGGGCTGGCAGCTGATGCCATAGCGCCCCCGCCGCCCTCAGCGTCGCAGAGAGAGCTCGGAGACAGGGAGAAAGCTGCCCTTCCCAGTCTACGTCCTTCGGGATCAAGACGAGTTCCGAGAAAGCAGCTGCACTGCAGCGGCTGGAAAGAGAGGGGCCACATGGGGGACCAGCGCGGGTGACACGAACGAAGCTGCTTGAAACTCAAAAAAGTTCTCACACTATCAGTTCCATTCCACATCTCTCCCTTTGGGGAGAGAACCCCGGCCTTCCCGGCCACATCCTCTCACCTTGACCCTCCAGTGGCCTGAGCCAACTCTTGGAGCCAAGAGAGCTCCTCCAGCCCCAGCAGAGCTGCAAGACGCCGGAAAGGGGGAGTGCTTAGGGCTGGTGGGGTGGGGGGAGATGATGGGTACTGGAACTGTAGTGCGACCCAGGTGAGGGGAGGCGCTGGAGGCGGGGGTCAGCATTTCATTACCATACAGCTGAGAACGCGCGCCCCTCCCCCATTTCAGGGGGCCACTCGCCAGGGGGCTGGCACGCGCCTAACCTAGACTGGGGCAGAAGGGAGCAGGCACGCGTTGGGCACGCCCCCTGCAGCTAGGGAGGGAGACGTCTAGCCCACTAAGTGGAGGAAGGCAGCCCCGAGTCTAGAAGCTTGGCCCCTTGCCTTGACGGGAGTGGTCACGGAGAGGTTAACGCGTCCGCAGGCTTCCCAGCTGCACTGAGGATGTGTGGCGGGTTGGCGCTCACAGGTTGCGAGCCTCTGAGGCGTGAACTCCCGAAGCTCCGGGAAGGAGACGAAGGAAATCGGAGTCCTTTGGCGCTGGTTTCGCTTTCTGGGCTTAAGTACTTTTTACCTGAGCGAAGGCTGCAGGTAACTAGCGCTCACTGCGGACGCTCAGCCTATGGGGACTCCCCAATGTCTCCACCCCCAATGACCATCCGGGAACCCCCGCTCACCTCCCTCCCCGTCTCACGGTTCTCACTTTATCCCCGCAGGTCAAGGTCTTGTCCAGCAATCCGACGATCGCGGAGGACTGGTAGCCTGGACCCGAGCAGAGCTGGGGGCCCAGGAGTGGGAGCGGCACGGAGGGGCGGAGACCTGCGCGCAACAAGCTGACGGGGAGGGGGGACGGTGGGGGCCGAGGCCCCCTCCGGGTGGCGCTGGGCTATAACAGCTAGAGGCCTGTTGGGGAGGGGAGGGGAGGGGAGAGTGACCAAGAGTCTGAGTGACAGGCGGCCAGGAGTGGAGCCAATATATATAAGGAAGGCTCCCGAGCACGCAGGTTTCAGTAGCGGCGCTAAGCGCAGGCGGGGAACAAGAAACCAAGAGCCGAAGCCCAAGCTACCTCAGTGCAGTGTAGCCGGGGCACTAGCCCGCTTGCAGCTTCAGGATTAGCCGGAGGACACGTCCCTAGAGCAGCTGCTGCCCAGCCACCCTCACCTGGATTACTTATCGCGGTAGCTGGAGTGGAGCTAGCTAGACAGCTCGGGGTAGAGCAGCGTCCAAGCGGAGCTCGGCTTTTCAGGGCCCCCTCCCGCGGGCGGACGCGCGGGAAAGCCGCGTCCCTAGCAGAGCCGATTTCAAGGCCCGCGGGTGGAAAGAGCGACGCCCCTGAGGATGGCAGCCGGGATCCGGAGCGCCTCTAGCTGGGCTCTACTGCTGCTGGTGGCACTTTGGCAGCAGGTAATGTCCCGCGCCCCCTCCCACCATGCCCGAGCCTAAGCCCCCGGCGTTCGCCAAACTGACCCTTCCCTCTCTCCTACCCCACCCCCACCCCGTTCCCTGTGCAACAGAGCGCTGCCGGCTCCGGGGTCTTCCAGCTGCAGCTGCAGGAATTCTTCAATGAGCGCGGCGTCCTAGCCAATGGACGGTCGTGCCAGCCCCGATGCCGAACTTTCTTCCGCGTCTGCCTTAAGCACTTCCAGACTGTCGTCTCGTCCGGGCCCTGCACCTTCGGCAGTGTCTCAACACCGGTGTTGGGCACCAACTCCTTCGTCGTCGAGGAGGACAGTAGCGGCGGGGGCCGCAATCCTCTCCAACTGCCCTTCAATTTCACCTGGCCGGTGAGCACAAGTCTGGGCGCACTGGGAAGTCACGGAAATCGTGAGGAGGAGGAACCCTGGGACAAAAACCCCCCACCTAAGATGTTCTCAATTTCCCCCCAAACCCCAGGAACGCACTGTCTCCTGTTTTGTTTTTTTTCTTTCCAACTCCCTTGGACCCTATCCCCGGGAAGGCTCTCACTGTAGTCCACCTCATCCACCTCGTCCCAGTTTTACGCCCTCCCTTTTCCCAGTTGTTGAAACACTATTTTCATCACCCACCACCCATTCCTTCCTCTCACAGAATGCTTCTCACGTATACTCCCTTCAATCCTCGCCTGCCTCATGGGTTCTCCTCTTGCCTTCGCTGCTATGGCGCAACACTGCGTATAGACCCGTTATGTTGACCCAGGCGCTGTAACTGTATCCAGCAATTAGGTTAATTAAACCGGCTGCCGCAGGGCAGCCCCCATCCCTCCCCGCCCTGCTCACCTCGCTCTCTCTCCTCCCCTACCCCCATCCCCTTCGCTTCCCAGGGTACCTTTTCACTTATCATCGAGGCTTGGCACGCGCCGGGAGACGACCTGCGGCCAGGTGAGTAGCTCGCTCCGCCGCCACAGGGGGGCGACACGGCCCAGCGCCGAAAGAGTTAAACCTGTTGGAGGCGGGGGAAGCTCTGGCCTGGGGGTGGGGGCTAGGACGCTTAGCTCCGCGGGGAGCTGCGCCCCGCGCTGGACGCTCAGAGTCCGTTCGCTGCCTGGACTCTAGCACAATTGCGTTTCCTGCGGGTTATTTTTGGCGTGGGAACGCGGGTAGCGCGGCGGTGAGAAAGGTCGGAGCTGCCAGCGTCGCTGACGGGCCCCTTCCTGTATTTTACACCTTTCGCGAATTCCGCTCCTTTGGATAGGGAATAATGGCTTTGGGATGTTGTTCTGACACAGAGGAAAAGGATATTTGAGCAACACAACAATTCTCACTTTGAAAAGGAAAAAGAATACCATTACCCACTTCTGGAGGCAGAACCCTTGAAAGAGCACCAAAAGACCCTCAGCTTTCAGAGATAGCCTTCTCTCTCTCTCATTCCTCCTTCCTTTCCCATTTTGATTTTTCTCTTTCCCTTTCCTGTCGTCCTCAAAAAAATTGAGATATCTTGATATCCTTTTATTGTCCCTTTTTGAATGGTATTAGGTTCCTAGGTTTGCGCATATACACACACACACATAGGGCAGATAAGCAGTAGGACCCTTGGGTTCCTCTGGCCTGGCCCTTGCCAGCAGGTGGGGATCATCTGGCCAACTGGTCACTGGCACCTTTGGGAACTTGCTACACCTCCCTGACCTGGCCCTCTGCCCCCTCAGAGGCCTTGCCAGCAGATGCGCTCATCAGCAAGATCACCATCCAGGGGTCCCTAACTGTGGGCCACAACTGGTTACCGGATAAGCAGACCAGCTCACTCAGCAGCTCACTCACCAGCCCACTCACAAGGCTGCGCTATTCTTACCGGGTCATCTGCAGTGACAACTACTATGGGGACAGCTGCTCAATCCTGTGCAAGAAGCGCAATGACCACTTCGGCCACTATGTGTGCCAGCCAGATGGCAGCCTGTCCTGCCTGGCCGGCTGGACTGGGAATTATTGCGAACAGCGTAAGTGGCCAACTCCCATCTGCATGGAGTGTGGGGGTGGTTTACCTGAGCCAGTAGTGGCATCTTTAGGGCTACAACCTACTCCCTCATAAGAGTAGGTCTGGGCTGTCCACTAGGTGGGCCTCAGGGACACCTATGGATAATTAGAATGGACTTGAACTCAGACCTCCTCTCTTTTCCCAGTGCTCTTCCCTATCATGCCAAAGTCCACAAAGTCCCTTGTCCCCACTACTGTATTTCATCCAGCCTCGATTCTCCTCCCCTGTGCCACTGTTTCCCTTTTAGTCACCCATGACTTCTCTGGTAGACTAGGAGTAGGAAGGGAGCCCAGGAGAGGGAAAGCAGGGTTTCTGAGTCCTTGCATCTCACTTCACCCACCTCTGTTTTCTTTCTTTAGCGATCTGTCTTTCTGGCTGTCATGAACAGAACGGCTACTGCAGCAAGCCAGCCGAGTGCCTGTGAGTAAGCCATCAGAGGTGGTCTGGGGAAGTCCTCCTCTGGCCAGGCCTCTCACCTCACTCTTAGACGTTTTTTATTTGTTTGTCAGCTGCCGCCCAGGCTGGCAGGGCCGCCTATGTGATGAATGTATTCCCCACAATGGCTGTCGCCATGGCACCTGCAACACTCCCTGGCAATGTACCTGCGATGAGGGCTGGGGAGGCCTGTTCTGTGACCAAGGTGAGTCGGAGCAGAAAGGACCACAAAAGGGTCAGGGGAGATGTGGCCTCTGGACACTTCATATTTAGTGACTGCTGACTTGGCTCCCCTGTGTTCCTTCAGGGATTTTGGGGTTTTAAAGTCTTACAACCGGCGTAGGATGAGACTGTGTGTCCTTCTCCAGGAGCCAGGGAGTGAGGGTGGCTGGAGAAGACAGGAGGGTGACAGTGTGGCAGCCTGCAGTTACACTCATAAATTCCATCAAGGCCAAAGAAAGGGATGCCAGACTCAGTTCCTTTTTCTACCTCATACTACCTTGTAGTTACCTATTAACCCCCTAAGTGTTTGCTTACCTGCTTGGGCTGTTTGAGCAGCTCTCCCCTAAACAGCTGTCTGATGGGGTGTGCCCACTGGCTGCCCTGAGGCTGTGAGTGAGCTGGGCCCCTGGGCAGAGTGATATCTAACCGCCTACTCGCTGTGGGCACATATAGCCTCCCCTGTGACTGGCCAGGTGGCTGCCTGAACCCAGACTCTTCCTGGTGGTGCTGGTGGGGGTGGGGGGCACCTGGCCACTCACTGGCTGTGCACAGTGGAAAGCCATGACTATGGGGAAGGAAGCCTTTTCTCTGGATAGGTGCCTGAGCAGGGTGGGAAGGGGATTGCCAGGGTAGAAAGAATTTACCTAGGGTTTGCTCCCTGTTAACAGAGGGCTTGGAGTTTGGCCTCTGCATCTTTGTGTGTATATTTGTGTATGTACATGTGTGTCCCTTTAGCTTCTCTGCCACACATGTACCTGGCTCCCGCCCATTCTTCCCCATTTACTCCCAGGTGACATAGTCATACTCATCATATGCAAACAGTCCCTATATTTGCTCTGTCTGGTTCTTCCTCCCTGTCCATCCCAAATAGAAAACAAGTATATTTCAAAATACCTTCCTTTAAAAAGTGCCTGGTCTGGGTTTTCCTCAGAATGCCTTCTCTAATATTTCCACTTGTTGAAACTGGTATCTCTCCTCATAGGCTTATCTCCCCTGCCCCTCCTCCAAGCTTTGGGCTTGGGGGCTTCTCCTTCATCTACACAACTGGCAGCATTTGTGAGTTTACAGGGCAGACAGTTGTTGAATTGTGTGGGGTATTTTCAACTTTAATTGATTGCCTACTGGCCAAGTGTGATTCATGGTGCTTCCACATACATTTCACTGTGGGATTCGGGGCCTGGGAGACTTGAAACTAAAACGTCTTTGGGCCAAACTTGAGGTGGGCTTGCACTATGGGGAGAATTCTCTGCCCTGTTCATGTGAATGGCTCATGTCTCTACAGATCTCAACTATTGCACCCACCATTCTCCGTGCAAGAATGGGGCAACGTGCTCCAACAGTGGGCAGCGGAGTTACACCTGCACCTGCCGCCCGGGCTACACGGGCGTGGACTGTGAGCTGGAGCTAAGCGAGTGTGACAGCAACCCCTGTCGTAATGGAGGCAGCTGTAAGGTGAGGCAACCATCTGGCCAGTAGTGCCCAAACACTCCCAGTTGAGGTACCAACAACATACAGCCATGGACAGGCATCATGGATGGCTACCCACCCCTGCCCTTCAATGTCTGACTTAGACTCCCACTATGGTCTTTCTTCAGGACCAAGAAGACAGCTACCTTTGCCTGTGTCCCCCGGGCTACTATGGTCAGCACTGTGAACACAACACCTTGAGCTGCGCAGACTCTCCCTGCTTCAACGGGGGATCCTGCCACGAGCGCAACCAGGGGGCTAGTTATGCATGTGAATGCCTCCCGAACTTCACTGGCTCCAACTGCGAGAAGAAAGTGGATAGGTGCACCAGCAACCCGTGTGCCAATGGTACATCCTAGTCCCTTGCTAAACTGCTGTACCAGCCCTGGGATCAAGACAGGCTTCTCGTGATGGAGTCGCAGTGGGGGTGGACGGGTGGGTGGGCATCATGAGAAGAAGTAAAGGCCTGTCTCTCACTCTGGCAGGCTGAGATAGGTCCCTCCCCATCTGCTCAGGAGAAGGATGAGCTTGCTTGGTCAATGGGAGGGCTTTGGAAGAGGAACAGGTTGGCAGTGGTGTTAAGAGAGTGGTTGGTGTTCACCCTGCTTGACTTCCATTCCTGTCCCAATGTCACATGACCTGGTTGGAGTGGTTTCCTGACCCTCCTCAGGAAACCTTGGCTACAGAGGGGATGTTTGGAGGTGCTTTGTCCCTCCTAGAGGAAAGCTGTCACTCAGAGCCCTGCTTCTGAAGGCCTCAGCCTGTCCTGCAGCTGTAGTGTGGCACAAAGCATGTAGCATATACAGCACATTTTGGAGCACAAAGGATGTTGGTATTGTTTGTCTGGTCCCCTGTGAGACAGACCTGACATCTCCAGGTAGAAGAGAAGCCTCAGGAGCTAAAGAGAGCTGGGAAGGACTGGGAGAAGAAAGCAGACAAGAAGTCTGTTCTCTAACTAGTTACTTAGCTTCTTGGAGCCACACTTTCTTCATCTCTAAATGGGAAACTACAATACCTGCCCGTGGTATTTCATGTGGTTGTGACAATTAAATGAAGCAATAATCATTACATATATTTGGGCATTTATTATATACCAAGCATGTGCTTCTGCTTCCATGCCTTATCCCAATTAATCCTCAAAGCAGTCCTGTGAAGAGATAGCACTGTACTCCAATTTAACAACAGAGGAAAGTGAGCCTTAAAGATCAAAGAAAGCCAGAGGTGCCAGATGCCCAACTAGAGAGAGAAAGAGCAGAAATTCAAACTTAAGCCCATCTTTTGGGTTCCACTTTAAAGCTCTGTAAGATACTAGTCATGCTTATACCTGAGTCCAATAAGGTATACCTGTGTGTACTGGGCTCCGGGAATGCAAGCTGTCTACGTGGAGGCAGAAGGACCAGGACTTGCTCCTGGGATGGGGCCCTCCTTGCCCTCCTGCACCGGGTCCTAGCCTGACTTTAGCTTTCATGTCCCACAGGAGGCCAGTGTCTGAACCGAGGTCCAAACCGCCTATGCCGCTGCCGTCCCGGATTCACAGGTGCCCACTGTGAACTTCCCACCAGCAGCTGTGCCCGCAGCCCTTGTGCCCATGGTGGCACTTGCCACGACCTGGAGAATGGGCTCTTGTGCACTTGCCCTCCTGGCTTCTCAGGTCGACACTGTGAGGTTCGGATACCCAGCGACGCCTGTGCCTCGGGGCCCTGCTTCAATGGGGCCACCTGCTATACTGGCCTCTCCCCAAACAACTTCATCTGCAACTGCCCCTACGGCTTTTTGGGCAGTCGCTGCGAGATCCCTGTGGACATGCCGCCCAGCTTCCCCTGGGTGGCTGTCTCCCTGGGTGTGGGACTGGTTGTGCTGCTGGTGTTGCTGGGCATGGTGGCTGTGGCTGTGCGGCAGCTGCGACTTCGGCGGACAGACGACGGCAGCAGAGAGACCATGAACAACTTGTCGGACTTCCAGAAAGACAACCTGATCCCCGCTGCTCAGCTCAAGAACACAAACCAGAAGAAGGAGCTGGAAGTTGACTGTGGTCTGGACAAGTCTAACTGTGGGAAGCAGCAGAATCATACATTGGACTACAATCTGGCCCCAGGGCTCCTGGGGCGGGGCACCCTGCCAGGGAAGTTTCCCCACAATGACAAGAGCTTAGGGGAGAAGGCACCATTGCGGTTATACAGGTGAGCGCAACCGTGAGGCCCAGGACCTGGCCATGGACCCCTATTTGTGTGTTTCTGGGTTCTTCCAAGGACAGATGAGAGTCTGACACCTAAATGCTTTTAAGCAAAGAACGGGTTTTGTTAGTACTAGAGGTTCTTTGTCCATCCCCTATTCATCCATCCATTCATTCACAAATGTCACATGTCCACAGTGTGACTCTCATGACTTTCACTTTTCATCACTCAAGGTGTGACATGTCTCTAGTGGTAATACTAGCTTGATCCAGGCCCAAGACCCTTTTAGTAAAGTTGGGGTCCTATGGATACCTTAGATGCCTGTTCCTAACTGCACTTCTCCAGCTCCTCTGCCTTCCCCCAGAGCCTCTTCTATAAGACTCTAGGGGTCTGAGTTCCTGCCCCCTCCCCCCTGATCTTTTCTCTATCCTTCTCTCACCCACCTGTCTTGTATTCCCTCAGTGAAAAGCCAGAGTGTCGGATATCAGCGATATGCTCCCCCAGGGACTCCATGTATCAGTCCGTGTGTTTGATATCAGAGGAGAGGAACGAATGTGTCATTGCCACGGAGGTGAGTATTGGTCTACCCTTCTCTTGCAGCTTGTTCCCTCTGGCTTTGAGGGGATGGAAAATTGGCCTAGTTACTCCCAACTTGATGACAGGGTCTTAAGGGGTTACTCCGGAAGGGGAGGGCCAGAACCTCTCCTTGGCAGTCTCTCAGGTCCCTGCTGGCCTCAGTTGCCACAGAGGGTGTGAAACAGGAGCCTTGGTGGTGAGCCTGGCCTGGCCTCTTCCTGCTGGGTTAGTGCTGGGCGGGCTGTGGCAACTTGCCAGCTCCCAAGCATTGCTTCCCAGCTGCTGGTGGGTGATGGTGGTTGCTGTGTGTCTCTACTGCCCCTTCCGACTGCCTTCCTCCATTGGTCCACCTCACTGAGCACAGGTTCCCAAGCATGTGCTTCTGTTGCAACAGGAGACTAGCAAGGATTTTCCATCTTCCCTCCACCCTGCTTGCTCCATTGACTTCTCCCAGAGAGGCCTTCAGGACAGTCACAGAGGGAGTGCTTGCACCCAGGGTAACCCACTTCTCCACACACTCCCCAGGTATAAGGCAGAAGCCTAATCAGGACATCCAGCTTCAGCCCAGCCGCTGGACCTTCCTTCTGCATTGTTTACATTGCAACCTGGATGGGACGTTTTTAATATGCAACGTGCTGCTCTCAGGAGGAGGAGGAGGGAACGGCATGAACTGGGCAGACTGTGAACTTGCCAAGAGATGCAGTACCCTTCCACACCTTTGGGTGTCTGTCTGGTATCAGCTTGGCAACCGCAACAGCCAAGAGAACAAAGGAGAGGAGAGGTGCCACTTGGGCCTGCGCTGGCAGCAGTGGCCTTCAGAGTGCTCCTTCGGGGCCTTTGACCTCTTTTCCAGAGGGGGTGGCAGTGGGCTCTTGGGGCCTGGAGCTGCTGGCGTCTGTTTCTGAAGATGCCTTTGGACCAGGCTCCCTGGTAACACCTGGGTTCAAATAGAGAAGAGAGAGGGGACCAACAAGGGCAGGACCCCATATGGGCCAGAACACCTTGGGTGCAGCTCTTGGCGGGGTTGCACTGCAGGTGAGGTGAGTGCCCAAAGGGAGAGGAGCACTTTTTGCCCCATGCCTCCAACTACTGCATGTGGGCCTTGCTCATAACACCACCCTGGTCTCTCTCCCTGGCCCAGGCTGTCTGGGCAAAAGGGTTGGTAAGCCTTACTAGGCATTTCCCAGTCTATGGCACCATAGGCTCTGGGCTCCCTGAGCAGACAGGAGGACCAGCCCGAGGCGCACAGCCTGAGGAGTTGAGGAGGATTCTGTTGGAAATTCTAATGAGGGAGAAATGGGTGCTGCTGCCACTTGGGCCCTTTCTTCCCTCAAATCCATCTCTATGGCCTCGAGTCTGGGTTCTGCCCATACCCGCTACTGCCCCCCAGACTATCTCTGAAGCTGACCTTCAGAAATCAATAATATGAGTTTTTATTTTGTTTGTTTTTTGTAGTTTATTTTGGAGCCTAGTATTTCAATAATTTAAGAATCAAAAGCACTGACCTTTCTACATTTTATAACATTATTTTGTATATAATGTGTATTTATAATATGGAACAGATGTGTACAGGAGTTTATTACTTCTTGGGTCCTGTCTTTGTGATGGCAGAGAGGGAATCCTCTCCCCACCTCTAACACCACCCCCACCACACACTTCTCATATTATTTTTGGGAATATTGTCTGCCCTACTCCGAATCCCTGGGCTCAGTGCACGCACTGGGGTTTAGCATATTGTGCCCCATATCTCAGTCACCTTGGGATCTTTGGGGAGTCCAGCTTCCTCTACCTGAATCCCAAGCCTACCTTGCCTGATGGTTTTGAGGCTGCCTGAATCTAATTCTCCCTGTAGTATGCTACCACCATACCTTTGGAGATCGTTCCCCTGACCTGGCATTACTTCTTCTTTCTCTCTTCAAGTCTGAAAAGACTTGTGGAGCTCCCAGTGGTCTTGGGAGATGCAGGCATTAGGGGCGAAAAGACAATACTGCCAATTTTCCTATTACTGATTAGGACACTTGTGGGAGAATGGGATCACTGAACCATGACAATAGCCGGGTCCTTCCTTCATCTTTTCCGGGTCTTAGATAGGCTGATGGCCTGTTCTTACCTCAGTTCCAGCAGGGTACTATCCTCCAGTGGGTCCCGGATTTGTCCTCCCTCTAGCTGGGTATAAGAGCTGAGGGTCAAGAGACCTTGTATGCTCAGAACTCTGAAGTTTATTAAGACTTGGAGGGGAAGGAGGAGGAGAAGGTGGCCTTTCCTAAGTCCAGGGAACTCTGGCTGAGGCACTACTGAAGTGATTTCCAGTCTCTCCCTCAGATTTAACTCCTGGTGTGGCACTGTGGTCAATGTGCTGAACTGCAAAATCGTTTGAACTGAAATGTCGGCAGTTTAAGTTCAACAACCGCTCCTCAGAAACTCTATACAGGGTCACTGTGGGTCGGAACTGACTCGACGGCACTTAACAACAACAACAAGAGCTAGGATGAAGTCCTGGTATGGCACTGAGGGTTAATGCACTTGACTGCAAGGTTGGTTTGAGTGCAAGGTCGGTGGTTCAAGCTCACTCGCAGCTCCTCAGAAATCCTAAACAGGGTCACTATGAGTCAGAACAGACTGGATAGCACTTAGCAACAACAAGAGATAGGATAGAGTCCTGGTGTGGCACTGTGGGTTAATGTACTGGACTGTAAGGTCAGATTGAACCACAAGGTCGGCAGTTCAAACTCACCAACCACTTCTCGGAAACCCTATACTGGATTCCTATAACAAGGGCACTTAACAACAACAAGAGATAGGATGGCCCCTGAGGTACCACATTCTTCTCTCTACAGCTACAGAGCAAATGCTGAGGGGGGGGTGGGGAGGTAGGGTGGAAATGAACCACTGACAGAAAGCTCAGTAGATGCCCACAGCTCAGAGCCTTTCCACTGGCAAAGCAAAATCATTTTAGGACTCCCTCCTAATTGAGTCCAAGGACGTGTACTGCTACTTGCTCTGCCTTCTCTCAGTCACCTTGACACACACACTGCATGCCTGCCCCTGACCTGGGTGCCTGTGCCAGAGAACATGGGTGCAAGTGACACATGTTTATCTCTACTCAGCGGCATGCACACACTCCACGCCGCCCTCACCGCTCCCTGTTCCCCTTGCTGCACACACAGGGTATCAAACAGGAAAGCATTCAGGGAAGCGTTCCCACAGCCTGAGCCGGCAGCAGGGGGAAGAACAACACGACCTCACTCTTCCTGCCCAAAATGAAACAGGAAAGCAGCTCCCGGGCCCTGGGGGGCGGGGGAAACTGGGCCCGGACACGAAGGCAAGATGACGAGGCTCCCATGTGGGGGACAGGTAGGACACCCGCGGGCCTGCACGTCCACACCACCAGGCTGTGCAGGACAGCACGGGCTGCCAGTCTGTGGGAGAAAAGCCTGGGGGGGGGGGGGCCCTGGCTGGCTGGAGCCATTCATACACTCTGATGCTGGGGGAGGCCATGAATGGATTGATCTGGGCAGCTCCAACCTGCAGTTCATGCCAGGTTCCACCACTAGCAACACAGAAGTTCTTGGGCCAGGCTTCCACTTGGGGTGTGAGCAGGCCATAGTGGAAGGCTTCCTTTCCCTAGGATTTCCTGAAGGTTCCTCCCTTTCTCATAGATAAAGGCACCCAAGACTTTTCCTGAGTGGCCAGGTGTACAGATGTTCCAGGCTTCAACAGAAGCAACAACCGACAGCACTAGACTAACTGAAGTGCTTTCCTTGATATAGCAAACGCTGTTTAATCTGCATGAGTATTTCACAACAGAAGTCAGCAGTTAGCAGTTCCTTAACAGCCTGGAACTGTGCCCTACCTAGATGATAAATCTAGCCCCCTGGTGACCTCCAGTTCTGAGGACATCTCAAGAACCCCCATGACTTATAACCACCAGATCTCTGTGTGGAGATGAATTGATAAGGGTGCAGTGGAGAAAGGAGAGGTGCCTTTATTCTGCTCACACAGGATTCCCTCACCTGCCTCTGGGTCATGATCCAAAAATTGGGGGTGGGGGTAGGGCGCGAAAGAAGTGTCTGTTACTACTCCCAAGCCAGGCCAGGAGATCCGCCACCTCTGAAGGGGACCCCACACAATTCCCGGTTAGTTCCTTCTCTGCAGCTCTCTCAGCCTCTCCCACGATCCAGCCACCACCCCACGTGGCCTGCTGCATTCCGGGAAGAGGATGGAAGTGATTCACTAAAGGGAACTGTGACTGTCCCTTCCCCAGGAGGGGATGCGCTTGGGAGGTTCCTGCGGTCTTCCCGGTGACTGTGCCTGCCCTTGAGCCCAGGACGCCTGGTCCAGCCAGAAGCCCCGCCGGATCCCTAAGTGCCTGGATTCCGTAGTGGCTGCGGAAGAGGCAGGTGTGGCCCACTTGCTCCAAATCAGCCCTTCACCTGCCACGGCCGAGCGCCCCGGAGGTCCCGAGCTCCCCACACCCCCGTGCTTATTGTTACAGCCGGACTTCCTGTTTGCGGCCTCCCGACCCCGGCTCACTTCCCGGGCCGGGAAGCTGCCGAAGGCCGTGAGTTTCTCTGAGACTCCTGGCCTGCCCGGCTCCGCCTCCTGCATTCCCGAAGCCTGACCCACGCCTGGCAGCCCTCGCCAGGAGGCGGCCGCGGGAAGCCGGCTTCGCGCGCGGGCCGCCAGGCGGGACGGCCTGGGCGTTCATGGCCCGCCACCAGAGGGCGCCGCGCAGCCGTTGGGCTGTTCCCGAGGAAGGCAGCCGATCCCACCGAGGCTCCTTGGATTCTGACCTGAGCAAAGCAGAGCGGCGTCGGGGCAGCCAGATGCCAAAGTTGAAGCAGAGCTCCCTCTAGCCTCATAGCTTCTAATCCGAGAGGGCAAACTGCAGGGAGCTCAGTGTTCTTTCCCCCAAGTATACTGGAGGGAAACAGAAGCAGGGCCCTTCGCAGCAGCCAAATGCAGACGCAGCCAGGCTGGTGGGCTCAGTCACCTAGCTCCCCATCTTACCCAGCAGTCCAATGGGAGTCCTGAGGAGGGAAAGGAATGTGAGGAGGCTGGAAAGGGACTGAAGCTTCCTTCCAGCACCACCAAGTTATCTGAAGCAAATCCATCCATTTTCCTAGACATTCAATACTGAGAATGTGCCAGACATATCCGGTCGTACTTAGTGTGTTATACAATGGACTGCTAACTATAAGCTCAGCGGTTCAAACCCACTTGCTGCTCCATGGGAGAAAGGGGAGACTTTCTGTTTCCCTAAGATTTACAGCCTCGGGACCCTACATAGGGCCACTGTGTCGGCATCAATTCGATGGCAGTGGTTTTGGTGTTGTTTTGGGTTTATATGCCAGACATAAACATTCGTTTCTGTACAGAAAGCTAACCTTAAATTCTCCTTAACCTCTGTGGGTGATGATACCTCTTCTTGCACATTATCATGAAGAAGAAATGAATGAATGTATGAAAACATTTTTGGGCAAGAGTTTCCCCTTTGGTTGATTAATCCTCCTAGAGCCTATCCCAGTGAATCAGGAACCATTTTCTGACTTCTATTCCCTAATCCTCAGCAGTGAGAGTGTGCAAGGGGGTTTGGTCTGGCTGAATGGTCTCAAACAGGAGCCTTAGGACTATGTGAGATTGCCCGGCTCCCAGGTTCTCTCCACTGTCACTTTCCTTTATGTTTTTGCGTCACACCAGTAATCCGAATCAGCCTCCTCTGATTTGGAGAGATATCTGTCAAAAAACTCTTGCCCATAGACTCCTGCCGACCTTTAGATAGGAGAGAGAAGAGGAAAGACTGGTTGGTCCAAAGTTTGGGGAGACTTGGGAATCGCTGAGCCCATGGACACTGATCTAGCCACTACGGGCTAGAGCTGAGAGTAAACTGTCCAGCTGATATGAAGTGGGGGGAAGAGCACAAGAACACCCAAACTTGCAGATAGTACTCATTTGACCTAGCTTGAACGGCTTTATGATCAAAACTAATTAGAGGAAGATAA